TTAACACTAATTTTTCAAAAAGATTTTTTACACTTTTTCTTAGGGGTCTGTGTTCCCTCAACATCCACTGCGCACATTCCACCTTCATTGTTCTGTGATATATCCCATGCCACCAACACTGCTATTTATGGAGAGGGAGTTGATTTGAAATTTTTTTAAAGAAAACTTTATATCAACATCACAAAGGAATGACAGGTCTCTCCTGCACACACAGAAGCTAACGGGAAAGTGAGCAGAGCAAGGAGGACCATGATTACTGAATTACGGCTGCTGAAGGCTCGAGGGAAGCTGCTCTTTGCTGCAAGTGTGGGAGAGATGCAGAGACACACTGCTGTCGCCCCTGGAGCCTCTCCTTGGAGCAGGCAGGAGGAGCGGAAATGACTGCAACGGGAATCGGCTGTGGCTTCCCTTTCTGGGAGCTCGCTGCAGAGCCACACGCAGCTGCAGGGGACAAGCCAGCGAGAACCCTTGTCCACTTTGCTGGGCCTCCCCGCGCGGCGACGTTCTGCAGAGCTGCAGCTGCGCGAGGCTGACGCTGCTCTTGCCCGGAGCCCCTGGGTTTATCGGCCTCCTTTCCGTGCATGTGTGCGTGCGCGCGCTAAGTGCTACGTGACTTGACCCCCTGCAGGTCGGGGTGTCCACCAGCACAGGCTGCGTGTTTTTAATGGTACGTCTTGTTCCAAGCCTTCCTCTCTCAGGAACATGGGCTGGTGGCACTGGCTGCCACCGACGGGCATGTCACCTGCCACTGTGTCACATGGTGTGGGTGTGGAGACCTGCGCTCTGCCTCCCACAGCCTCCACCCGGATGTGAAACACACTGCCTGTCACAGGGTCACAATAGCCTCACTGAGGCAGGGACGCATGATCTTACTAGGTCCCAGGAAGGAGGGAAATCTGAGTGCTAGTGAACAGCCCTGAACACAGAGACAGCGCTTGGACGTTAGTGAGCATCATCACACAGTTCACCCCTCTCTCTCCCGCTGTGTGCACTGGCGAGCACCCTAAAAGGCCAGGTCTCTAATCTATTCTTGGAACAGTTACGTAAAACTTTCAAAATAACCTGATATTGGTATTCCCCACTTTTCAAAAGTTCAGTTTACGCCACTTTCCTTTTACGAAAGACCTACGTTAGTACCTGTTTTCACTAACCGAAAGAAATCCAAAGAGGATTTTCACTTTTACGAAAAAACACACAAAGCGAAAATTGCGTCCAGCGTCTGCTTTGCAGCAAGCTGTCATGGAGGCAGCTCCCCCTGGGCAGCCGGGGGCCTCGCCAAGCTCCTGCCCTGGGAACCACACGGCATCACAACATCAAGCGGCCCGCGCTCTGACCTGTGAGCATCTCGTCCTGATTTATTTTGTGCATCTGTGAGCAAAATGTGTCCTAAGGCAACTGCTTCTTCACTTTACTCTCAAAGCGCTTTCGTTCGGATAGCAGGGGAAAGCTGTATTGATGAAGCTGGCACTGGGAGAGGGTGACTCTGGAGACACCTCTGGTGTGGGACAGGTGTGTCACCTCCCTCTGCGCTTCCAGTAAACCAGGCTCCACCCTTCGGGCTCCTCGTCCTCTCCTAGGTTCCTCCTTCTCCATCCCAGCCCCCAACCTCTGCACCCCATAAAGCATCACCGTTCCACCCTCCTCCCCGGGCCCACCCTCCACACAGCTTCCCTCCAACATCTGCCAGAGGGACCTTGCTTTATTTCAGCGTTCCAACCAAGTGGAACTCAGTAATAAAACAACACAATAACAATGAAGTTGATATTCAAAACAGAGACTCCAAAGAACTGCTTTGAGTTTTCCTTTCCAGGCCTTGTCCAAACGCAGATGGAACTTTCATGCAATAATAATAATAATAACAATCATAGTATACACACAATTTTTATATTGCTTATCTTACCTAACGTTACACCTAAGGCATTCATGCTACCACAGTCCTGAAGCATCTAAAATTAGCCACCACTTTCGCTCTCTCCCTGGTTGTGTAAGCAACATATGCTCACGCCTGAACATTTTAGAAAAATCAGGACTCCCGAATGCGAAAATACGGTACCAACAGTCTCCCACTCAGAGACAACTGGCAAAATGTGTAATATCCATCATTCACATGTTTTGTCTACGTTTGATATAACACACCGAATTAGTTAACTTTAGAAAACAGCAAAATTAACTTAAAACTTAGTAGCCAAAACAACAAGCATTTATTATCTTGTGGTTTCTGTGGGTCAGGAGCCTAGGAGTAACTTAGCTGTGTGTGTCTGCCTGCAGTTAACCTGCTGGCTGAAGCTCTGGTCACCTCCAGGCTTGACTGGGGAAGGCTCCACCTTGACACTGACTCTTGTGGCTGCTGGCCGGCCGTCGGTCTGCACTGGTGCCTGGGGACAGCAGCTCCTCCCTCATGGGATCTCCACAGTGCAGCCAGAGCGAGGCAGCCGCTTCCCCAGAGCGAG